ATATTTATTAAAGATTTATTACAGGAAATATCAAGTTTTACGGAAACATTATTGTTGCAGAGTAGTTTTCACAGTGGAGGCTTGTATTTCGCTCCTAAAGCGAAATATTTCGCTTGTAAGTCGCTCCTAAATTAGGTTCGACGTACAAAACGTTAGGAACTTGAAATAATAGTTAATGACGCAGCAATCTAGTTGTGATGGTTGATACTTTAAGGTCCGACATCGACTGACTCAACTCCACTGAGCCCAACTGGCGACCTCCACTACTACTACTACTTATTATGTGTGGGAGAGTCTATTACAATAGAATAGGTAATGTTTCGGTATAACAATTATTGACAATTATATATTTACTCACATAAATAAATAAAAATAATATAAATTTGGATGCTATATTTGATTTGCTGTCAGCTATTTTTCATTTTCTCCTTTGTTATTCGCAGCATTTTAGAATCATTTGGCTGCAATGTTAAGTTACCTAAGTTGAACAAAATGCAGCTATTTTGTTTACGCTTTGTTACATCTCTTTTCCAATCTGTTTTAGATCGCTTTCTTTCAGTCATTTTGATGGGCAATAGCGAAATTTAAAATGATCTTATTCCATTTAAAAAATAAAGCCTGTAAAAAGGGAAGTCTTAAATTAATATACGACCAAAAATAAAATGCTTTTGACAAAAAACCTTAATGGTTTTACATGTAACGATTCAATGTAATGATATTTCTACGGTTTATATTTACCTAATCTTGTTACATGTTTAAGAACTGTAAACCTAAATTTAATTTAAAATATAGTGCTATCAGCTCTAAATATTTGTAAAATACTTGGATATGATATAATGAATAATTTTCGGCTAAAAATAGCAATTATCGATTTTTATTGAATACGTATCTCCTCCGCAGATCACGTCATATATCCTGTAGACTAATTTTTTAATTACCGTATTTGCCGGCCTATTGGACGCACCAAATCATTGGACTGCAATATATAGGAAAAAATGCACACTTCACAACCAAAAAACCAACATAATAACCTCACCTTTACGTGGTATTCTCACTAACCATGACGAAACACTTACAGTATTAGTAATACAAGTTAAATCAGATATTTTTGTAAAATCTGGTATTTTTACAATATAGTGTGCAATTCCATAAATTTCTTTCTCCTGGATGAGAGATATGTTTATTGGCATTTTCTGCATTTAAAAAAAAAGGATGAAAAGCCGTAAAAATAAATCAAATCTTATCGATGATTCTTAATCTACTATGGAAGACAAAAAATAATAACAATAATAATGTATAATGTCTGAGCATTTCAGTTTGCTCCCGTAGTGTTTGTTTGCATCATTCATTTTTGCTTCGGTTCATGTTGTGGAGACTCGTACGCAATTTGAGAAGCTCTGAACCAAGGTAAAAAGTTTTCCAACAAGTGTATTCTCTCGTTCGTTGGACGGATCTCTCGGTTAATTAATGGCTTTTGTAAAATATCTGCAACAGACACTGTACACGTGGTAGCAGAAGTTGTAGTAGAAACAGTAGCCTACTCGCGAATTGGTTTGAAATACAATAAATAACATGAGTATATTTACATATCACCAGCTGGTACGCAAAAATCAATGATGCATGAGTCGAATTATTTCCGTCTCGACTCGATGTCCATTGTACTGGTGAGAAAAAAGCCATAAATATCATGTATAGTTCTTATTCACTTAGTAGCAAGATAGAAAACCTGTTTTATATTTATTGTACATGAAGAGTTATATATTTATTCGAGTTTACTCGCTTTGTAAGTTCCTCAAAATGGAAAGTATTCAGATCTATAAATACATGCTCACCTGCTGTAAACCGGCGAATCAATTTTTTAAATGGAGTTTTCTAAAACATACTGATACAAATATATATATATATATATATATATATATATATATATATATATATGATAAAAAGGCTTAAACACTAATATTCCATGGTCATAATTTATTCCATTGGAATCGTAAATACGATCCAATTCATCAGACCTACAAATTCAAAAAGAAAACAGAAAAAAACAACTCCAGAAATAAAAATAGAATTTAGAGAGAGTGTAAGTATGAGAGTGTGGGACGAATGTTTGAGCTAAAGAGAGGGGTAACAGTGTTTAAGGCTTTTTATTATATCCTTACTCTGCCCTGGACATTGAATTCTACCTGGATTCTATCCTCTTAGAATTTTTTATTCAAAAAACATACATGTATGTGTATGCACCTATGTATATATATTTATATGTTTTGCATATATATGTGTATATTTACCACTAATATTAGCTATATATATATATAATTAATGAAAAAACAAACCACTTTAAGGTACCATTACAATAATTTATTTCACCAAAATCCTTTTTAAAGGACTCCGGATTATCAAGTAACACTTCCAACAACGAAATGAAAGGAAAGATGGGATTAGAAATTGATGGGTAGTGTAATTTTTGTAATTTAACAGGGAGGGTGATAGTTGTAGTTAACGAGACAAGATAGAGTATAGGAGGGGGGGTTAATTTCATATTTCTCTTAAGCATGCTTTATATTGGGGTAGGAGGAGGACCGAACCGTGACCTATTTAGATGGTTAACTTAACGGAAATGATATATAGGAATGGGAGGGTAGTGGGGGGAAAATAAAAGGAAAAATGGAAAGGAGAGAGGAGACAGACGACAGTAATACAGATATATCTAAATGAGCTCTCAGGATTTCATCCTCCTTGAATTACCTATTCGGTTTACCAAGTTCTTCGTAACTTAACTATATATATATATATATATATATATATATATATATATATATATATATATATATTTCACATTTTATTTAAATATACGACGTGGTTACTGAAAAAGACTTATCCATTTCCCCAGATCTAACCAAACGGATTTTTTAAGTGATTTTTGGTCAACCTATTAAATTTTCAGTAGCGCTTATCTGAAGGAAATATATATTACTATAATTATTCGTGGGTAATACACACACATTGTTATATAGGAATAAACTATCATTGCCGGCATACGAGTTTGAACACAGATCGCCAGTGAGCGAACACAGGCGATCCCATTATTTAATTAAGTGGATTACATGACCATGGGAGAAAAGCATAAGGAGGTAGCGTGACGTCTAAACGATCACTATTTCTAGTCTATCCTCTTTACGATACGGATCACTATTTCTACTTTATCCTCTATTACTATACAGACCGTTATTCTTTACTCTATTCACTATACTATTTTTCTAGTGACAATGAGTATTCGTTGACATCACAAAATTGTCAACGAGTGTTCTTTGATATCACAAAAGACATATTAATATAGACATACGTAAATACACACACATTTACAAGAGTTACAATAGACCGAAAACAGAATATTAATGTCATATCTGGATTGTAACTCGCCAGTCCTCACTTTGAAGTTGAAGTAAAGATGTTATGAGTAGAGGGGGTATATAGGAGTACAGAGAGTATAGTTAGTATAGTATTATAGATGTTAGAAGTATAGAGTTAAAGAACGAACCGGAAAACCAACCCTAAACAAGAAATAAGGAGTAAATCTCTTCTACTGCTGAAAAGACCGAAGAATAGTGTGAGCCAGATGATAGTCGAATCAATCTACTTTTATAAAAAAAAAAAAAGAGAGACTGATGAAACTCTTGGAATAATTAATGAGAAAAGAGGGTTTAGAAAATAGCACCCACGTGATATTCTGAAGTCAGGATGGACTGGTGCTCCTGATATATATTTACAGATCCTTGATATAATCCGAAGAATTTGCAATGTTATTGGTCCTGACCTGGTATCTCAGCTAAAGTCATTTTTCTATTGCCGTAATGTAACTTTCTTATGCCTTTTCTATAAACAATTTAATAGTAAATGCTCAGATGAACACTTCTCTATCTTGCATAGACTATGAATTTAAGCGCATTACTAGATTAGCGGAAAGATCACATCATTTTACAATGAAAATGGCTGGATGTAACCATAAGTTCTATGCCAAAAGTTAACTTTCCTAGATGTGGACTCTTCCAGAATTATCCATTTTTTGCTCTGTGTTATATATATATATATATATATATATATATATATATATATATATATATATATATATATATAATATTAGTGGTAAATATACACATACATATGCAAAATATGTGTGTACATGGGTATATGTATGTGGGTACACGCCTATATGTATGTATATACGTGTATATGTTATTGTGTATGTGTGTATGCGCATGTGTTTTTGAACATAAACATATAGGTCCTTGCTAGATTAGATAATCGTTATATTTATTTTTTTTATATGTTTATATTTCATTTGTAACCTGTATTTGATAATAAATTTGTCAAATTTTCTTAATTACACAGCGGCCCTTTCAGTAAATGTCCTCCAATTTTACTTCCCTTCGCCACATCTCTCTCTCCCAACTCTTCTTTCCTTTCCCTCCCTCTTATTCTGATCTTCAACATTAGATCGTCTATGGTGTGTGTATGTCACCACGAAATGTATCTTTATGCATTAGACATCCGACAACATTCATATTTCTTTTACTTAAACCCCTTCCACTCACCTCTCCTAAAATTCTCTCTCTTAAGGTTTAATCTCCCTCCTTCTCTAGTATGTTACCCCTCTCTTTAGCTCTAACATTCGTCCCACACCCTCATACTTACACTCTCTCTAAATTCTGTTTTTATTTCCGGAGTTGTTTTTTCTGTTTTCTTTTTGAATTTGTAGGTCTGATGAATTGGATCGTATTTACGATTCCAATGGAATAAACTATGACCATGGAATATTAGTGTTTAAGCCTTTTTTATTATATATATATATATATATATATATATATATATATATATATGTGTGTGTGTGTGTGTGTGTGTGTGTGTGTGTGTAACATTTTTTTAATTGTATTCTTAATGCGCTTAGCCCCCGGTGGGGCCCACTCTGCTTATTAAAGCCTTCGTCAAGGTTATGTTCCTTATTACAGAGAGAGAAATGAGAATGAGGAGAGAAAGGGAAGATATAAGAGAAGAGAGAAAAACAAGAGAGAGAAACTGGAAGAAAAAGAAAGGAATAAAAAAGAAGAGATAGAAAAAGAGAGAGAGAGAAAAAAAAAGTGATAAAGAAAGAGAAAAAGACAGAAAGGAAAGAATACGAAGGAGAAAGAAGAGAGAGAACAGCAGAATGATGACGGAGGAAGAAAAAAAAAGATAGAGTGAAAGAAGTAATCTGAGAGAGAATGAAAAAGAAAAGGCAAGAGAAAAGCAAAGAATAGGAGATGATGAGAAATACAGAGAAAAAAGCAAAGGAGAATGAAAGGGTGAATGAAAGGAGAAAGAGGAAGAGAAAACCGATAACGATAAGGAGAAAGAAGACAGAAAAGACAGAGAAATGGGGAGAAAGGAGAAAATTCAGAGAGGAAAAAAACGAATATAAAAACGGGGGGAGGTGAATGAGAAAGGATGACAAATAAAAGAAAAAGATAAAAAAAAGATTTATCTTCCCTCAATTTGTACTCCACCTTTTGCTGTACTACACAGAGAGAAAAGAGAGAGAGAGAGAGACATCCATCTTCTTTTACTTGCATGCTTGGTATTTTATTTGCTTTTAGCCCCGTCGTAGGCCACTCTGTTTATTAAGGCCTTCGTCAAGGTACTTCTTTAGTTCTGTTTCTTATTACAGCCGCACTTCCGGCTTCTTGCTTTCAATCAAGTTCACTCTTCAAAAATATAAAAGCAATATCAATCGTTAGCTTCTGTCCACTTAAATTCGGTTCTTTTATTGTTTTCGATCCTTAATAATGTTTTTTTTATTCTTTCACACGCAGTAACTCACTGACTTGTGGTGTACTGGATATCGACTCGGAAGGAGAACTCTGAATACCGAGTTCAAATCCCAGTTGTGTTCGTTACATTCCCTTAAACCACAATTACCCTTTGGAAAGGTATTAATCCATCATTTCTATCCCCTCCCCCATAGGTTGAATGACAGGACAGATTTTGTCCTCTATAAGACTTGGTTAGCAACCAGTCTAACATAGAAAGATACAGCAACCTACTACAGGAAAATCTGACTAATTGGTCATGAATCGAAGAAAAATTATCGCTCAAGCGTGTATCTGGTTTGGCAATTGTGGTGAAATGGCTAAAAACAGTTTGATGGACTGAAAGAAACAGCGAGTAAGCTAACTAGAAATTTTCTCACTGCTTTCTACGCTGTTTATGAGAAAAGTATTTGGAAAGGATAGTAAAAAAAAACTGCTAAGACATACAAAAAAGGGGGTCTTTCTGTGATCAGCCACGCCTGCGGAAGGATATATAAAGTGGGGATAGGCCGCTCCCTTAAGGTAAGGCTTCAAGAACACCAGAAAGCTGTAACATGAGGGGAAGTGATAAAATCAGGCGTGGTTGTAATAAATATGGCGACAAAGATGATAGATAGTCCGATGATGTAAATAATGTCCAATAATGTTCACTTTTGTCTATCATATGTTTCTCTATCGCGCTTTGGTCAAACATGTGACAAGTAAGTCTACAGGATAATCATGCGGTTGTATATCCTACAGAGAAATTTTAAAATTTTCTACTCAGAGATATCTCGAGTAAGCCACGCTTAAGATATTCGGTAGAAAAAAGTGCGTATTCTACAGCAATAATCGCAGAATAAAGTAACTTTTCTTCTTCTTTGTGCTGTATCCCTTCACGATGTCGGCCACCATGGTCTTCCACAATATCTTTTGTCGCTCTTTTGTTACTGTCTCTCCCAAATCTTTTTCTCCCATCCATTTACACAATCGTTTTGGATAGGTTACTCACTATTTCCCTCTGTTCAACTTGACCTTAACATTTGAGTGACAGGTTCGTTAAGCTCTATTTTCTAATGAATTATCCCAACAATTTTAACTGTTTCCTTTTCATTGTATGAATCATTTTTTTATTTATTTAATTTTACTTAGAAGTCCTTCGTTGCTTACATTTTCGTCTACGTCCAACTCTTTTACTGTTCCATCAGTTTCTTTTTTCGCACTTCACACCCGTGTGTCTTCTTTTCGTTTCCTTGCGTGTCTGATAAGTACAACCATCAAAAATTTAAATGAAACATCAACCGCCATCTTCGATCTTCTTGAACTTTGTTCATGTTCGTCCTTTCCACAATCCTCCCTATTCCCAGTGTTCATATTCGCTTTCACTCACTGTAAGCCCCTGCTTTTTTAATGGCACTGCGGGTGGGGGGGGAGTTGAAACGATCAAAAAATTTAGTTTAAGTGACTTGGCGTTTCAGAAAGACGGGTACTGAGAGTAACATGGATGTAACATGCGATCAATTAGGAAGTTTTGAAGAATATAAAGACTAAAAAAAAAAAGGACACGGTTACTTAAATTCATAAGAAAAGAGATAAAATTTTTGATGAGTAAACACAAGAAAAACAGGGATACCAGCTAGTAAAATCGTTCAGATGTTTTTGAGATGGAAGAAGAGAACAAGGATCCGAAGTGATGGTAACGTATAAAAATTTACTTAGAGCCATAAAAGATATTAAATTGATGAGCGTCGTGATCATAGAATTTCGGGAGTGTCACGAGACATAAAAGAAGTATTCATTTTGAAAGTGGTGTTTCTCATTTATTCACCCAAGATACAGAGCACTATCTATGAGGATTATATTATTTGGGCGGCGTCTTAAGAACACAAGGTATTGTAAAAAGCTTAAAACTAATATGAAAAAAAAACCCTGTATCTCTGCTGGCTGTGATACTTGAGGATTCGTTGAGAGATAACTTTCGTCTGTAAGCAATGATTCTTTTTTATCATGGCGTCTTTCCCACGTTGATTAAGCCCCGGTCTCTGCGTGCTGCTGAAGATTTAATTATGCAGTTCTTTTCGATTTTGTCATTAGCTGGATATTTTATTTCCAGTTATTTTCATCATGGTTGCAATTAAAATTATAGCGAGATTATAGTCGGTGCAATTAAAATCACCTCACGACTATGTACAGAGTTTAGTACTTATTGGCAAATCTGTTATTATTCGCACTTTTAAATACAGTCTGTCTAATACTGCTCAATTAAAAAATCTCCCCTCACACA